TTGTGAATTTATATTTTGTTTAATTGAAAAATAAAAATAAAAATGCAATGTATTAATGTGGTATAAATCAAAATGCATAGGAAATGTAAAGAAATGATTGTGACAAATTCTATCAAATTTTATATTCCTCATACAAACTCTTGAGGGAAAAGAAAATTATCTACATTTTTCTGAATCAAGGCATGTTAGGGGAACATGGAAAATGTAGCATGAAATATGAAGAATGCAATGGGGGTATGAAGGTATACAAAACTAAGATGAAGTGGTAGCTTTATTCCAAGTTTTGAAGAAGCTATTTAATACTTTGGTATACATCCTTTTTATTACAAAGAATAACTGCAAAATAAGTGACTGTGTGGAAAAGAATTGATCCGAAAATCAATTGTCTGGGAAAGAAAAATCACAAAGAAATAATTTTGAAGATGTTATTTTTTTCTGATATTTAACTGTTTAACCTGATAATACATTTTATGATAGAAATGTACTAAGACTGCTGCTTACTTAATTTGCCAATTCTGCACCCTGTGATATTGAATTGTTCAGGATTACTTAGCCCATTCCTGTAATGAGAACTGTATATAATTTACTATGTATACTTACATATAATAATCTTTAAGCACATTATGTGTCTAGTAAAGCAGAAGTTAGTTTCTGCTAAGGAGATGATAACATATGTATTTATATATACTATTTATATGACATATGTATATTATATGTATGTTCTGGATTTCAACTGGGTATTCCAAATTTTCATTACCTGCTTTGGAATATCTAGTTTTGGCTTTAAGAACTGACTTAGTCATCATAAGTTTCTTAGAACAAGGTCTTTGTGGCAGGATTTTTCAGTTTCTTGCTAAACATCTATTCACCACTTTCTCTTTAGAAACAAAATTTGTAATTTTAGAAGGTTATATGCTTCCCATAATAAAAAGCACATTATCTTTCAGATACTTTTGTAGCTGAGTTTGGCCATAAGACTGAGTTCTGGCTTTGAGCTTTTAAAGAGAAATATTAGTGGGAGTTTTCTGAAAAATGCTTAAAGGGAATTGACTCAGCTGGAAGTCTGATATATATCCTCCCACTTTTCCTCTTAGTTTTTAGCTTGAAAGTCAGTGGTGACAGGTGGAGCCCCAGAAGCCTTCTTGGGACAGAAGGTGACTCTGCGTAAGAAGTGAGGTGAAGGGAAGATACCAAAGAAAGGTAGGTATTTGAGTCCTGAGAAAATCATGGGCTCACCATTTCTACCTGTAATTCCTACTTTCAGACTTTTTCTATAAGTGAGGAAATAAGGTTTTATCTTGTTTAAGTCATTATTATAGTTTTTTCTGCTAAGCAATTCCAGTTGAGTCCAAACTAGTATTCAGAGTCTGGTTATACCGATGAATCCACAGATCAGCATCCCTCACTACCAGCCATTAATATGTGTTATTAAGGATGGATGAGAATCTATTCCTTAGGATAGGAATGACTTGTTATGAGTGATGTGTCAAATCCAGATATAACTGACTAGGTAATAATGCTCTGATTTCTCTCTAGCCTGTGATTTTGTGTATACATTCTTTCTGGGAGATTAGTTTTCTGTGTTGTGTCATTCTCAGTTTTTGTGTTAGGAGGGGTGCTGTGAATTCGCCCTGTAGGAAAAGTAACATCTTATTTGGAATTGTGAATAAAGTGGATTCTCCATTGAACAGAAACAGGAAACAGCCTTATATTTCCTAAGTAATACCTTAAATAGTCAATTCATTCATTCAACAAACATTTTTTAAGTAGCTGAGTCAAACAAATTATGGGAAGACTTTGTTATTTAGTCAACTCATGCCCAATATCACATGGATCATCTGTGAATTTGGAGAAAGTAGAAAAAGAAATGAAGAAAAATTGAAACCAATGGAAAAAGTCTATAAACAATTGCCCCAAATAGTTGTCTTCTTTTAAAAAAAATATTTCCTGTGTTTAAGGACAGGGTTATAATATACATTTTCTCAGATGGCACCAGGCTGTGAATATAAATATTAATGTCAAATATTAAAGCTCAGATTACAAGGGTCAGTACATAGCTGTCATTACAAAATTCCTAAGTTGCCTTGACACAAAGTGTCCCAGTCTCTTCTGGGAGTCCTGGGAGAAGGGTCTTGCATGTGCTTATGATCAGTTTGCTCATATCACTCACTAACTGGCTGTTACGATGCTTGAGGCTCTTAGGTAGGAGTCTCACCATTTTTGCCTCATGTCAAGATCTTCCAGGAGAACACTGCTGTCCTATAAAGAAGCTATATCCATGTTCTTTCTAGGTGATAAATCACCACACTGCCAAAGGATGCTGCTTTCATGTTTCAACTGCACTGTGTTGGAGATTGACTTGTTTTACGTCAAAATAAAGACAGTATTTCTCTAGCCAACCCTTATGCTGAAGTACTACTCCTTATGCTCTGAGGATCACAGTCTCCTATGAAAACATTTCTTTGTGCTCTTATTTATAGCATCTAAATATGCAGTCCCTCATTATGCTCCATCTCTGTGTCTCCATTAGTCTTTATTAGTTGTTATCCCAGTAGGTCTTTATTCTCCAAGGTGCATCAACTTATGCTAATCGTTTGCAGGGAGGGCTACTACCCAATCTGTTCATCAGACATAACCAAACACTGAATTCCAACTTGAGCCCAAATGGGAACCCTGCTCCACCGGAATTTAACTTGAACACTAGATGGGTTTGCCAAAATAGCTAGTTGAGAATGAAACCATAACTTCTTGATATTATATGTGTGTATTATATGTGTGTGTGTGTATATATACACATATATGTATTACAGTATTGCACAAAACTTCTAATTTGTATCAACACAATGTACTTGAAACCATAGGCAGTGTCATTTTCTCATTAAGTCATCTCTCTCAGTTGCCAAACTAATATAAAAGGAATGCCACATGCTATAACATGTATTTTATTTATTCCACATTTATCCACATAAGAACATGAGTAATGAGCTTAGTTAAAATGTTCCCTTAAGCCACTGTTTTCAGACATTCTGAAAAACCTCTATGCAGAGTTGATATTCTTTTTGAATTTACTTAAAAGGTGACCCAATAAGTTTTCCCCTTTTACAGCCTCCTGTTAGTAAACGTAGCTACTGTTACTATGAGTAAAGGAGATATGCATAGGTGGGGGAGATATGGAGAGGCCAGCAGTTTTGTAGGTAAACAGTGTGAAAACAAGGAACTGCTTTTTAGTTATTGACACAGAAATGGCAAAAAACCAAAATTACTTTCTGAATGACATCTTTTTACCTGACTACTTGCAAAGAGCATGTTTGCCTGTTTCAATCTAATGAAAATCTTAACCGTTTGATTTTAGGGCTGTAAAGTATGTTTGTAGCAACTCAGGATCCTTGACAGTAATAATCACAGTACTAAATTGATTTAGAAAGTGGTTAGTAGAACCATTTAGAAACATTTTCTCAAGTTAACTGGTTAGAGAAAGAATAGAAATAATTTTTTAAATAAAGACACAAAATGTCACAACATCTGAAAAGCCCAAGGTGTAAAGTGTATCAACACTACCAACTGTAGTGGAAATAAAATTCCAAAGCATGACAATCCAGAGCAGTTGTTAGTAACAGCTGTGGTAGGATGGAAGTTAAAGAAAGAAGTAGAAGGCATTTGTTGAAAGGATCTTGTTGAAAGAAGGGTCCCAGCACAGTAGCTTTTTTTATTCTTAAGACTCGCCAGATGTGGGCCTTTCTAAGGGAATAGAGATGGAGCCACAAAGAGAACTACAAATGCTGGGAGAGAAGGGTAGATACAATAAGGTTGTTTTTAAGACTCGACAAAATACAAAAGCTGTTTCCTCTTCAGTCATTTATGTAGAAACTTGTACTAAATTAAAAGATGCAGTGCATACACTAGCAATTCCCATGGTCTGGTTCTTTCACTGCCCTGGCATGATTTTAATATATTTGGCCATCTTTGTGAACTATTTGCTTTTCTATCAGCCTGATGTTTGATCTGCAATCCCTCTGTAACTAACAGTAAAAGGGAAACTCTAAGAAATTTAGGAAGTTTTGGTTAGCAATCAGGTGTTAGCCCTCGTCTACTCTATGAGAGGTTTATACTTCGTCTTAGTAGCTGAGTGACTGCTGCTCTTTTTTGATAGCCAACAAAAAGCAGTGCCTTGGACCTGTTTGGCTGCTGTCCTGGATAGAAGAGCTTGGCAGCCCTAAGGAGATGAAATTCTTCAGCCTGGGACCCGCCCAGAGTTGAGAAGCAGCACCCTCTCAGCCACTAAGTACTCTGTTGCTATGAAACAAAGACTAGGAAGGTGAGCGAAGCAGGAAGTCCCGCCTTTTATCCCCAGTTGGCTTTGGCTCTGTCTCCCAACGCCCACGCCCACCCGCCCACTCCTTATTGGTCAGCTCCCTAGTGCCTTGTATCCATTTCCCTTCCCTTTTCTGTTTTTGTTCTTGGGGGAGTCCAGCCCCCTCTTTACCTCCGAATCCCTTCCCATTTGGGACGAACGGCCATCGGGCTTTCCTTTGGGGCCATTGTGTACTGAGGAAGACGTGGAGCGGGTAGGGCGAGGAGGACGGGCGCCTCCCGCCCATTGGTGCCACCCGCTGTCGGGCAGCGCAAGGGCGCTCAGGATTGGCCCAGCCGCGCGTGACCCTGCCCACTACCCCCTCCCCGCTCCTGGGTCTCCCTGTGTGTATCCTCCAGGGGTGGGGTGTCCAGTGAGTGCTCTCCTCCTCCAGCCTGTGCGGCTGCTGCGTCCCGCGGCCTCTCGGAGAGTCGGGCGGGAGGGCAGAGCGGGTGTGGATTGGTCTTGACGGTAATTGCTGCGCTTCCCCTTCGCGGTGGCCTGCGCTCCGGGTTGCTTCTTCCTCGCGAGCGTGCTTTTCGGCGATTACACACTGCCTGCCCGGGCTACCCGCATGCTGGGCTCCTGCGTGGAGTCGGACCCGCGCACACGCGTGTTTCGGGTCGGCTGAGGCGCCCAGAGGCCGGGAGGGAAGGGGGCGCCGGGGAGGCTCAACGCTTCACTCCAGCCCGGGGCCCCTGGGGCAGCCAGGCGCGGGTCACGCAGGAAGAGGGGACAGCTCCGGCTTCCAGCTGCTGTCGTCGCCGCCGTCACAGTTTGAGGAGGGGTATTTAAAGACCGGAACCCCAGCTGGGCCAGGGGAGGAGCAGGAAAGGGAGACGGGCGGCTGGGATTGCAGACAACCCGGGAGTCGCGTCCACCCGGGAGCCGGACGGAGCGGAGCGCCAGGGACAGACCGGGCTGCGGGCGCTGGAGGCGCGAGGGGATACTTTGTCCTTCTCTGTCCAGCTTCCTCCCCAGCCGAGGTCCGAGAGCGGCAGGGGAGGGGCCTGAGCCGGGAGGGGGCACAGCTGTCCCAGAACAAAGCGTGGACCGCCACCACCCCCCGCACCCCTTGGGTGAGGCGAGAGGCTAGGAGCCAAAGAAGTGAACTCTTCCCTTCTGTGCCCACTTCTGTCAGTTTCTCACTCTCTCTTTTAAAATGGGTTATTTGTTGGTTTATTTGACTTTTGACTTGGGGATAATCCTCACCGCGTTGGTTTAAAAAACTGTGTTCATATGCCCGTGTTCTTGTGTCCGTACTTGGTGGTTTTAGTGGAGAAAATCCAAGTCCTAAACCTTTGTTGACAACAGACGTGTCCCTTCTGCTCGAGTAGAATAATCTTTACGTTTATATATAACTTGGCGAAATCTACCAGAGTGAAAGTGCGGTTCTTGAGTGAACTCGTAAAATGTGTTCTTGGGGCTTCGATTCTAGTATTTCGAATGGTATTAAGGCAAGGAGGGAGAGAACTTTGTGTTCTAATGTAGTTGGAGGAAACCTGTGTAAGTGGTTTGTTTTGTTATGAGTTGGATATTAATCGAGCGTTTGCTACGTGAAATTTGAGAAGGATGCATCATTAACTCTTAGTGTTTCAAAAGCAAATGTGAGGTCATTGCCCCTAAACCTGTTGGCTATGTGTAAAGATTGAGAATGCAAATTCACATGCTGTTGAAAAGTTTCATCTGGGACCCTAAATTTTGTTCTTACTGATGGAGGAGGATGTAGTGGGTTGACCTGTTCAGTTTTTTTGTTGGGTAAATATTTTCATGACTGACTAACTTTTTTTTTTTTTTATCTGCCTTTCAAATAACTAAGATCCCAGATGGCAAATTCTATGAATGGCAGAAATCCTGGTGGTCGAGGAGGAAACCCCCGAAAAGGACGAATTTTGGGCATTATTGATGCTATCCAAGATGCAGTTGGCCCCCCTAAGCAAGCAGCAGCAGATCGCCGGACTGTGGAGAAAACTTGGAAACTGATGGACAAAGTGGTGAGTCTGATTATGCCTGAACATAGCAGTGTTCACCCTGGGTTTTTTTCGTCCAGTTTTATTCATACTATTAATCAATAAAGCTATTGTTATGGCAACAGTTCTTTTGATTTGGATTGACTATTTTTCTTATATCCACTCAGTTTGTTTGAAAAAGTTGGATTCAGGGCAAAGACTTGTTTTTTACCTTTTGTCCTACTCTTCAAGGTTCAGAGTTCCTCTATATGACTCAGATATGCAAAGTTTTCACTGTTGGCTGCTCTTTGTTGGTACACCACCATAGAGTAGTTTAGAAGTGTTTATTTTGTCTTATGTGAGGTTGTGTTGCAAACAATTTAAAAACAGTCTGTGATGGACCACTGTGACAACTACAGTGATGATGAAGATATTTTCTGGGGAAAGAGCCAGATTAGTCCTTGAGTGAGGAAGCAGTAGTTGAGAGAGTTTCCATTTTCACCTTTGAGAATTGTCTTCATTAAGAAACTTTGTTTTGTTATTAATGGTAGAGTTACAGTTTCTTTCATCTATTCCATTTGAAACAGGAAACCTTTTCGATTGCACATTGTTTATTGTGAAAGGAAAATTTATGATGGAGGTGGTGGGGCTGAGAGTATCAGAAACCTCTGTGGTTTCTGCATGTTGCTTTCAGATGAACTACTATTTCACAAGAAGAAATCAAGCTGGATGTCAGTACCCAGAGTAGTCCACACTACCGGAATATTTCACAGGGGGGTCTACTGAGAAACCGTAGCTGTCTGTGTCTTTTCTTACTACGTAGGATTATGAAATAAATATGATTACCATATAGCTTGCTGCTGTGCATAATTAATAATTCTTGCTTTTGAAGCAGTAGCGCTATCCCCTGTATATTGCTAAATATTTGTAGCACCTCATGTTTTTATTTCATAGATATTTGAGGCTAATTATAAATTCAGTTGATGCTCTTGGTAACTTTATAGCAGCAGAAATGGAGATTTTAAAAAATATTTATTTGCAGGGATGTGCTAATGCCCCCGTAATGTCATATGGTAGCAGTCACTTTACTTTGGTTTGCACCTGTGTGCAAATATTTGCCACAAAAAGCCACTGATAGTGGTATTAGCAATACAAGAGGTGATAAGATTTACTTAATTTTCATTTATCCTTTTGGAAAGTACAGATGGTTAGATGTCTTTCTATGGTCGGTCGTGCTAAAAGCAGAGCCAGAATATTTTTGCCAGATAAATATCCTTAGTTTTGGGCTTCAGTGTGACCTATTTAAACTTCAGCCAGTTTATTCAAATTGTGATATTAAAGTGCTCCAGACAGAATGATGTCATAGTGTCAGAGAACTGCAACTTGCTGCTTGAGGTCAGGTTTTGATTTTAGCATTGGATACTTAAGAATGAGAAGTATGCAGTTGGAAAAATTGCATATATCTGGCAGTCACAATACTAGCTGTCTTTGTTTTTCTGAAGACTATGCAGTTTAAGGTCATTCTCATTGTACAAATCATCAGTTGGGTGTAAGAGAAAGAATTCAAGGTCTTTCTCTAATACATTATATGAGTAGGCAACAAATGGGTAAGATTGTACCAAAGAGCTGCTCTTCCTTCCCCGCCCCCTCTTTGAGTGGTAAGAATTTGTACATCTGTAAGTGAATGTTAGAGTATCAAATGAGAAATACTTATATACAGAAGTGGTCAGCTATAGTTAACAAACTATGTTTTGAAACATTAAAAAATGTGTGCATAATTTTGGTCTGTAACTGATCGTTAACATAAGTTTTATCCACTTTTAATTACTTCACTATGAGGAATGGTAAAATAGATGGCTATTTGATAGTTAAGCTTCTGCCATTGTTTATTTCATTAACTCTTTTGTGAGTTTGCGTTTAGCCTCTCCAATTGAGAAACTTCACTCACAAGGAAACCTATTATCTAAAGTCTCTACTTAGTGAAATGTGGGTGCCAGTGTTAGCAAAGGTACTGTGTGGCTTTCCATATTAGTCTACATTATTTGTCTAGGATGCATATTGTTGTATTCATTTATGAATGCATATATGTGGGGTTTGTGGAGGGGAATCAAATCATTATAAAAGAGTTTAGTATATTTATTGCTACTCTATCACACAGTAATAAAAACAAAAAGGCATTGATAATTACTAATTGGAAGTATATTTTATATAATTGTGCAATGCAGAAGCATCCCCCACATATGTTTTATCTTTTCTTCTTTGTCAGTGGTGAAGGAAGTGGTTGATAATATCAACATTGTCCTGGTGATTACATCAGTAACTCTATTATTAGTCCAAATGTTAATCCCTTGACACATTACATGTTTTATAAAATGACTGCAATACCATGAGTTGAGCTTGTGAATAACAGAAAATAGTAGAATAACTGGTTGTTATGTAAATAAAAGACAGGGTTAAGTGTTAAGGTAGCATATTTTCTTTATTAACTTCTTCAGCAAGGGTAGATCTTAGGAGTATAAATATGAAAAGCTTCATGTTCTTTGGAATGTCTCAGCTATTACAAAGTAACTTATTTTACAGGGCATATGAAGCAGTATCTGACTGTAGAGGAAATTACCTAGTAAGTGTAGTTTCTTCTTTGCCTGGCCTCTAGAATTTTAAACCATCAACTGAGATTCCAGTTCCAAGTAACTGTTATGTTTTCAGAAGTCAGACTTTCTAGAAAGGGTCACTGAGAGTAATAATTGCTCAGTTGTGTTCCTTATAAGATGTAAAGTGTTTCTTAATAAAATATCAGAGGCACACAGTTAGCATAGTATATTTTTTGAGACAAATATTAGTAGCATATCTCAGATCATCCCATTTAGACATATTTCTAGCCTTAGCTCTACATAGAGCTAAGTGTATGTCAATACCTGACCCCAAACTCTTCAAGTCAGTGGATGCCCATTTGATACAGTGACAGAACTATTGCTCATTAATACACATCTTGGTTTAACACACTTGCAATGTGGTGTGTCTCCTGAAACTATTACAAACTTGGGATTTCTTAAGCACTTAATTAACATTTATTGAGGGCCTACCATGTTCCCCCTGAGTGCTTATTACTGGGGATGCAAAGCTAAATAAGATAGAACTCTGCCCTTGCCCTTGACCTGTCAGAGAACTCAGAGCTGATTATCCAGAGCCTGGCAGGTAAATGGATAATTGCCATGCAGTATGGAAAGGCTGTAATACAGACCTATACCGAGTACGGTGGGCGCAAAGTAGAGAACTTCCACCTTGTTTTTCTGGCTACTGTTCAGACAGTTGTCTGTCTGGGTTCTGCTGGCCGCTGTCTCTAAGAACAGATTATTGTACTCTTCTTGGAAATGCTGAGGTGAGGGGAAGGAAATGATTGCTAATCAGTATGGTAGGAATAGTAATTTATTAATGCGAGGTTCTGGAGCGTGGTTTTCATCATCATAGCCAGGTGTTAGAAAATGGAAGAAATAATTTTCTGTCTAATAGATACAAATGTACTGAGCATAAATGGATGTTTAGGAAATTATAAAGTTATGAATTGATGCCAAGGAGCAAAGCAAGTTGAGTACCTGCCGACATTTTTGTCTTGCTGTCCTTGTCATTTATTTGAAATTACATTACTGAAAGAGTTTTAAAAGCATTTGAGAGGCGATGATGCCAAACAGCCTTTTCTGCCTTTTACCTTCAGTACATTTAGTACATTTGTCAAGCTTGAACATAATTCATTCTCTATAATCTCACTGTGACCATAATATATTTTTAAAGTTTGTCTGTCAAAGGTGTTCAGATTAATTACAGCTATTACAAAAAAAATAAAGAGTAGGTATTCTTTTCTAAGACGTATTCCTTATCCCTCTGGTAGAAAATATTAATGGTGGAGTAAAAGTTAGGTCTTGGATGCCCATTGTTTGTGTTTGTGTTGGAGAACATTACCTTCCATGGGCCCTCGGACTAGGGAACACCCTTCACACATTCCCTTCCCCATAGAGAGTCATTCTGTGTCAGCGGGATCCTGGGCATTGGCACACCAGGACAGGTGGTGGTGACGCAGTCAGTGTCTGTACAGTTTTGTTTAGCGCTGAGTTAGTTTTTGAATTTATGCTTGGATAACTGAAATGATCCCACATTTTCCACTTGCCACTTCTAGGAAAAGCTTATAATAAAGTAAAAGAATTAAAGGAATCCTACCAAAAGTTATGTTGGTTTATTCTTGTGAAAGAGGGCATACGTTTAACAGAAGCCTTAATGAGTTAGTAATCTTTTAGCTCTTATGAAATTGTTACCATTCAGATTTTAAATCAACTTCTCTTCTTTTAAAGTTGCTTTACATGCCATCTTTTGATTTCATCATTCATTTGCCATGTCCCAACAATGGAAAAATAGAGATTTCTAAATAACCATGCTATCCTGTAGAATGTAGAGAGTGCTGTAAATGTGGTATAAATACAGGGCTGTGACAGAGTATGCACTGGGGGTGAGTGTTGCATGCCAGGGGTGGAAAGATGGTGTCAAATGCAGCTCAGCAGAGACTACCCAGCTGTACTTGAGAATGTGTTTTGTTGGATTTCAGTGAGGTAGAGGATACAGCAGGTTGAAGGAAGGATAGGTAGAGGGAGATTGTTGAGTGAGACGTGGTAAGTTTGAGAAGATCAAGAAGCTTTGACTTCTCTGTCAAAGAATTTGGACTTTATTTACTTGGTAGACAAAGAACTGTTAAAATCTTTGAGCAGAGTGGGAAAATGTCAAAGCTGTGCTGTGATACAGTACTCTCTTGATAGTACAAGCAGTGGTTTAAGAGAAAAGAAACTTAAAAGCAGGAAAAATGATCAAGAGGAATTAAAACAGATGGGAGAAGAAATAATGGAGGCTTGAGTTAGAGAATTGCAGGTATAGCAAGTGTTGGTTCAAACGTGGGAGGCATTTTGGAGGTAAGTCTGTAGGTCTGGTGACCCTTCAGAGAGAGAGAACGAAAGAGCAGATGAGTGAAAGTGACTCTTGAGGTTTTCAGCTTAGTTGACTCT